AACAACGGTGAAAATTGAAGGCAAATTCTTAAAAATTGACAACTGCCACTGGCCGCAACATTTACGGTTGGCCAGGCCGTCACACCAACGCTGTTTATTTGACAGCCTTCGACGTCCGCAGTCTTAAACACGCCGGGCAACAGATTGCTCTCGCATGCACGCTGGTTAAGCTTTCCGTTGATGTGGTGTGTCTCTTTGAAACGAGGATTCAAAACCCAAACATCATTCAACGGACCTCTCCATCGGTTTTCCTCTCGCTCTGGTTGCGCAGATCTGGTGATACAGAACCCGCGGTGACTGGTTCCAAGCCACTGAAACCGAAGGTTTTCCGGTTGAATGGCTACCCGTTGGCAGTCTGTGAGAATATACCACAAAGGCGCCGATAGTCGCTGTCTGTTCATCGTATCCGATTAGGCACCAGGAAATTTCAACTCTGATATATCGCAGACACTTTTCAGGACGAGTTGAGCTCCTTGTTGCGGCAAGCAAGTAGACTTGACGTTGCTGGGGGTCAACTGGGTGGTCGTCTTCAAATAGAGTCGAGACACAGGGACAACGGCGAACGCCTGTGCTGACCAGACTATTTCTGTATAGTACTAACTTGCGTAACAACCAAAGCCGCTCAGTCACAAGGTGCTCCTTATATGCAAGCCAACCTGCAACACAGATAAACCACATCGGTATTGGCTACAGGTGGCGTGGGTCAACCATTGATCGCCGGACCATGCGTTTGCTCGTTGCAACTTTCAGGGGATGCTAGATGCGCATACCTTGCCCGGCCATTGGGAAGCTCTCAGACCTTGAGGTGAAGTCTACCAGAACCACGAACTGAAGTCCCTTTCAGACAAGATGTCTTCTGGTGTTGATCCTTACTGGAAGGTACCATCCGCAAATCTGAAAGATGCTGCATGCTCTGCTTGCGAAACGGCGCAACCAACTACATTCAAGCGCTGGATCTTAAGTAATATTCTAAAATTCCTCGAAGCTCGGACATGTATTCCCCCTGGCCGAGAGTACGAACTATCAGATGAAAACCATCCGCGCAAATCGAGAAGCTTGGAGGATCCAGAGAAGATCCAGGAGACGATAAACTCTGGGGGTGACGTAAACTGTCCCAGTTGATAAGCGCAGCAGTCCAAAGAGGCCTCTAGTAAGTGAGACAATCAATGAGAGCAACGACCCGCTATCTCCAACAAAGAAGTGTCAGAATAGAGGGGCTGAAAACCTTCAACAGCAGTTGGTCAGCTAAATTCCAGACCAGCAACGCAGTAATGGAGACTGAACTTGGAACTCCTAAAGGCTTCACAATCGTCACCGAGCTGCTGATCTTGACGAAGTCTCAACAGATCTGGTCAAGGATGGAAGTGAAATCCTTATCCAATACTTGTCTAACTGATTTGCCTATGCCCGGGCGAAAGAGGTCTTCTCAACTAAGCGGCGGGAATCGTTAATGGGTACTTGCAGTGCGTGGCAATCAAAGAAATATAGCTTGAACCTCGTTGTAACCAGGCCCTTCGCGTCGATTATTTTACGTCTTACGAAGCCGTGGGAACACCGAACTCGAGAACAGCATGTTAAATTCCGACCAGGAAGAGAATGTGCGTACATCTTCACACTCCTTCAAGCGCTAGAACGACGATATGCGTATAGGCACGACACAATCTTGGTGCTCTTTGACTTCAAGAGTGCATTCGATTCCAAGGTATGCCGCGGAATTTCACTCATTTCTTGTGCTGTTTACACTCATGATTACGGGCCCGTGAGTGTATGGAGAGATCTCCAGGAACTTTCCGTCAATAATGTCCACTCTCTGTGGTTAGAGAGAGAATTTACTGACCGGAATGTCTTTGGTTCGAACCTGAGAGATCGCTCAGCTGTAACAACCTTTCGGTGCCTAACTGCCATGCTATCCGAAGGAAACACGAGGACTGGGATAGTGCCAAGTTACCCAAGCCTAGAAAGGGGAAGTCAAGAGACTGAAGTCGCGTTCAAACCACGGACCTTCCGGTCAGTAAATTCGCGCTCTAACCACCTGAGCCACCTCGAACCTGACACTTGCATCTCGACTTTTCCTGTCTAGTCTTTGGTAACCTGGCAGTATCCCAGCCGTCGTGCTTCGTTCGGATGGTATGGCAGCTAGGCACCGAAAAGGTGTTACAGCTGAATTATTATTACTAAAATAACAATCGTTCAGCTGTAGCATCCTTTCGGTGCCTAGCTGCCATGCCACACGAAGGAGGTACGAGGGCTGGGATACTGCCAGGTCGCCCAAGCCTAGACAGGGGAAGTCGAGTGGCAGAGGTCGGGTTCGAACCACGGACCTTCCGGTCAGTAAATTCGCGCTCCAACCACTTGAGCCATCTCGACCCGTTATTATGACTACTACTACTGAGATGAGAAACAATGTCGAGTAAACAGGTGTGCTTGTTTGAGGGACTGGCGTAGTTGGCGTAGGCACACTCAGAACCATTTCCTGGTAGTAGTCGATGGTACTGTTCCAGCCCAGTGGGAAGCATCCAACGGATGAGGTGGAATGTTCGAGAGTGGTGGGTAGCCTATGGACGCGGGAAACAGTGTTGAGTAGGTAATAAAGATAGACGTAGGATATATGTGGGTAGGCTTGGGATAATCGGCTGTGAAGCAGGTACATCAATGGAGGAAAACTCAACCGAATCGAATCGAATCGTTCGTAGCACCCTTCCGGTGCCTAGCTGCCATGACACCCGAAAGTTGCACGAGGGCTGGGATACTGCCAGGTTGCCCAGGTCTAGACAGGGGAAGTCGAGAGGTAGAGGTCAGGTTCGAATCACGAACCTTCCGATCAGTGCTTTCTTCAGGTGGCATGTTGGCTAGGCAACGAAAAGGTGCTGCAGCTGAACGATTCTGTATCGAACAACTTAATGGACTGCATGGGGGTTGAATTGGTTGGTCTCGAAAGGCAGAGATAAATGGCTATCACTAGCCGATCGCGTCAGTGTCAAGTGAAGAGAGGTCGTAGACATACGGTGGTCATTTTTGTGTGTTGTTGGCGATTAAGGGCGACTCCGTAAGGCTAAAGGAAAGGTACGATTGTCCAGGTTTTGGCAGATTTTTTATTGCCGTTAGCACAACCACAGTGAATGGTGGAAAAGGGGCGCGCGGCTTGGAAAAGCTAGGTTGTACTGAATGGTAACACTACGGAATTCGTCGATGACCAGCCGGTAGAGTTGCAGGGCTGTAACAATAAAGGTAATAACTGTAGCGCCATTTTCGTGCCTAGTCATCATACCACTTGAATAAAGCCGAGATACTGTCATGTTACCCGAACTCATACAGGAGTACTCGAGGTGGAGAAGCAGAGTTCGAACCACGGACCTTACATGCAGGACGTTGGTCCTTCAGGTTAGAGCAACGATAGTGACAAGTGACGGACGGGGGAAAGAGGGACCTCTCCGAAAGGACCGGTTTATGAACATTATATCCAGCTGAGAATGTTGCGGAGTGGTGTAAACAGGCTATACAGTGATCAGGAATTTTTCGCAAGAATATATGACACCAAGGATGAGGACGTAAACTGCCTTCTTACCTTCGGTCTGAGCACAGGCGGTGACCTTGGTCATGTAAAAGCGTAATCTGAACGGTTTCTGTGGCAGCTCGCCTAACTGGAATGGCGTTAAAGGCATTCTGTGAAATTCTCCGGGTGTGTATAGCTATTCAATCTGATGAGTCGGTGAGGGATGTCTCGTTAGCCCTGAAAACGGTCATTACTTTGGATGGAGGGGCTGGAGTCTGGACTAGAGCCGGAGCTAGTAGTGGGGTAGTTACGATGGTGAAGGTGAAGGGCGGTGAGCCGGAGGGTGGGAAGGAGGAATCGCCACGTGCCTGTGACGGGCCTAAGTTACACAAAACATACATCGGTAGCCACGTGATAGTTACGACCAGAAAATATGTTGGTGGATGGAAGCCCGTACAGTTCTCATGAAACCACTCAGAATAGTCGTCATTGACTTGGTGGTGACCACATCCGCGATGGCAGCAGTAATCAGCTGGTGAGGAGATGAAAAGGCTTTCACTTGAAGGGGCACTTGAACATGAGACGACTGTCCAAGAAATTGAAAAATAAAACAGAATTTGGCGAAGTTTAGAAACAAAATAACCTGGTTGAAAATTCGTCCGCGAGACCAGGAAGACACGCGTTACTTTGTTGTTTTCCAAAAACAATATCCGTCAGCATTCAGTAGTCTTTTTTTAGTTGGCTCTCAAAACCTTACGACACCAGTCGACTCTTGAACTATAGTTCGGTACTAGAATTTCTGAAATGATCGCTTCAAACTGGTAATCCTGAAGTGACAGCCGAGCGTTCCGAATTTCCGCTCCGATACCGTGAGTTCAATTCCTTCCCATTTCTTCAACGGAGCACTTATTTCAAATCAACAAACCATATTTGTATTATTGCTCTCACTCCTTTTTTGCCTGTCATTTAACAACTAGGGCATCCGGGGCAAGACAACCCGTGAGTATCACACACAGTGATCCAGCTTCCACACCTTCTACATAAACTTAAGAATCATGGGCAACAGCGTCCATTCCGTTCACTGTGTCAGACTTTTTTCTGCTTGGTTCACTCACCAAGAGGTAGAGTCTGACAATCACGGAGTTCAACCAGACCGACTTAAAGTCAACCAGCGCTGGTCGTGCAAGCCAGGAAGGGTGAGGCTACAGCTTCGTAACATGTTGCTCCACCTCCCAGAGATCAGTGTCACCCAACGTTACACGAGCATGGCTAATTTGCAGACAAATTCGCTTCAGGGACAAGCAACCGTCCACAAAATGCAATTTGGCCTGGGTAACAGGAATATTGGTGGTGATGTGAGATTTTCTGACAGGCGTCTTGTCCAATAAGTAGGAACAATCTATGCTGAGAAGATCAAAGGAAGCGCCAACAGCACGCGCCACACAAATCTGTCCTGAGAATAAAATCGCACCCTGTTAGGCGGAATCCCAAGCGTATGCCAACTTACCGCTCGCGACTAGGCGCTGCTACGGTCAAGAAGCCAATCTCGCACAGGATTGGCCAAAAGTATGGGGCACTTGCCAGTCCGGCATCAAGGCGAGATCTGAATGGTCGAAAGTCCAGACCCAACAGTTAATCGTGAATCAGTATTGGTTGAATGCCGGTTGCCAAAGTCGCATCCAGAGTGCATCAGAATTTCCAGGAAGTTGTCGCCGCTTACATTATATGTATGAAGTGCTGTACAATCGTTCTTGGTTTTTGGCGTTAATACAACTTGCACGCCTACCGTGGTTGTTTCGACGTGAATGCTATATTGGGAGGCTCAGACCGCGTACTAAGCTGAGGAAAATACCGTTACTACACAGCCGTTGAACAGTTAACTGTTCCGCTACGAGCGTTTGATCAGCAGTGTGATTCTCTGGCATATAGACAAAATATAGCGCCTCTCCATCTTCAACAACGGAGTTTACACCACGTGATCACGTGTTGACTGGTCCCTCAAGCGAAAAATTCTGAGACCGAATTTTCGCTGGTCTTGTGAGTTGTCCTTTCTTCTGAGCTGGCATAAGTTTTGGAAACTTTAATGAAAACTCCGTCAAACTACCCCGAAAAGTACTGGTCCGATGTTTCATCCTTGCAATCCCTAGCAGTGTATACTTCATCTGCTCCGAAATCGCCGTCCCGATTCCACCCGGAAATTTTGGAGACGTACATTATTGGAACTTGCCAATCAGAACAAGAGTTTCACGTAGTACTCCCCGGCTTTTTAGCACAGGCTTACTTCACTTACAGCAGGAAGCCTTAGTTTGACGCCAAGCTTCTAGTGCACTAAAGTCGAACAAATTGCAAGATCACCACCATCCACGGTGATAGTAGTTTTTCCGCACACAGACGTTTGTACAGAAGAAAATAAATCTTGAGCGCACAATCGTCGGGAATAAGTGATTTCCGAATAAAAACTTGCCGCGCTTGATTTTTATGGATTATATTTGTGCCCAACCGAGCACGTCTCACCATTTTCGTGTCACTCTGACGGCTCCCACGATCCGTGCAGTGTGGACAGATACCATCGGTTTAGGTTATCAGCATATATTTGACAGAGAAACTGCTAGCTGACTGAAGTCAGACAAACAGAAGCTGTGTGTGGTGCATGGCAAACAAAGCGGCCAATTCACATCATCATCATCAGCAGCAACAACAACAACAACAGCTTGAAGAACCGCGTACTTGTCGTACAGTGGATACAGCTGCCACGATTATGTTCACCGATAATTTGGGCGGTGGGTCTTAGCTGCGCATTGAAGACGGTAGCTGATGTAGTTCATGTGTAAATACGTGGTTGTCAGTGGAGTTTTTGGTTGGGAGGATTTTGATGGGAGCTGAGCATTGAATGCAGTAGCCTTGATCCACGAGCGCCACTGAGGTCGGGAATGGGCCATATCTGAGAGAGCACCCCAGGCGCCACAGAAAACAGAATGATGCCACGGCGGTTTCTATTGCCCCCGTACGCTTGTTGAAGATAGGAATAGCCGTGGATATGTCCCATTTTTCGGACACTTTTTCGTCACACACTACGTCATCAAGCTTTTTCAGACGGGCCTTCGCCCTTTCCTATGAGAGGTGAATGCACAGTACGATCCCTGAGCCTTCTCACATTTCAGTAAGGATAGCTTGAACTTTATTTTCTCTGATGGGTCGTTGGGATCTACATTTTATCCACCCGTATGCACTATTTCCACAGGCTGTCTTGCAGAGAGGTGCCTAAGCTGCTCCTAGAAGTGTACTTTCCATCTTTCCAGTCGGCATTTTTCCGAGTGATTTAATTAACCACCTTTTTCACTCTGGGATGTATGTGGAGAGTATCCAACTTCGGTTGCGGTAGGGTGAAAGTGGAACGCTTGGAGCTGGGCAGAGTCGCCCCCATTGACAATGCACCAAGGTTCACTGTCATGTGGAATTCCGTTCGATGTTTTTTTAACATCTGGGAAGAGAGTTCCGGATCTGTACACGTTGTTCGGATTTGAACTTTGTAACCACGAGCGACAGTACACGATACCATGCACCGACCGTTCCACACAACCTCCAGAGGCAGTTCTGATCCCGGACTGCTTCACTACTGCTACACCCCAGTGATGTGCTGTCAAATACGAACGTCCCGTTAACAGCACTGGGGCCCAGGGATGACATGTTTTACGAGGCGTTTTCCACTCTAATGAATACGCTTGATACAAAACACTTCTGCACGTTGATACGCTTACCAGCTTTCAGTAGATTCATGGGTCGGTTTAATCGCTGGCCAAATGCTGCCTCAGCCGTCCATGAGAAGCCCTCGTAAAACTCCTGCTGGTCGCCCCAGCATACGTAGTAAGGTTGTGCAATTTGTTAGCAACCAATGCGACGACGCCGAAGGAACAATGTTGAACCCTCGTATGATACTGACGATGAAGATGATCTTGATTAGACGAGAGCCTGGATGAGTTGATTTTGGAGTGTACTCACCGCTTTTCAGGCGGGGCTGTTGCCTCTAACTCACGGGCTGTTCGACGATGGCAACTATATGGAGCGTTTGCGCAAACACATGTGAAGTCTCTGCCCGGCTGCCGTGTGACACCAGCGCCCTCACAATTCGACGTGCAAGAACATGTTCTTGAAAGATAACACTTCTGTTCGTCCATCAGACCCATATGTATGGGTCCTAATCGGGCAACATGCCATAGGGACAAGACCTCGGGAACCGACCAAAACGTGAAGGCAGAGTTGGTTTTTGTGGACAAAATGAAATCAAAATTTCTGGTTCCTCCGATTCTCGGAACCATTCCCGACCACCACCCCCGAAACTTCCTAAGGGCATGCAGCATTAGCTATTTGCCCGTAATCTAGCTAGGGCACGCAGTAACAGTACGTTGGTGCTGTCTGGTAAGGTCGTAGGCCGATACACTGTTCTATGTTCGTTGGTGTTTTCACACCCGTTTTCGCTAATCGATCAAATACCTTGTCAAAAATAATTCTCTCCCCTCCCCCTTTCAAAATTGGCCCAGGGATGATCGCTGAATAGCTAGACGCATTGATTCGGTGGTACTGGTTTAATGGTTTCCCTTTACACGGCATAAGCCTGGCTCGCAAAAGACTGGGTATGTCGGGTCTCGCACAATCAAGTTATTATTTCCCACTACATCTACGCCCTGACACGTCTGGGTGAAGGCAGTGGACGACAGATAACAAGTAGATGTGATAACGCTAGATTTTGGCAAATCATTTGATCAAGTAGATCACAATGATATACTCGAAATTTGTGCGAGTACGGGGCGGGTATTGCCCTCATACTTTGGTTTCACTGACGCTGAAATGGCGAAGTGAGCGAAAACAGCACGTGGCATCCAACTCTAAGTGATGCTTTGTATTTTTCGCCTAATGGTGTGGCACGGCGCCCCAGCGAACTCTCTCGCATCCAGGAGCGAGGCACAAATTTTGGAAAGTGTGGCATATACCCACGGGTGATGCCGCAACTCAGCGCGCTTCATATCTGGACGCACTAACCTTGAATTGCACACAATAGAATATACGCGAATCAGGAATGACTTGATTTTTCATTCCTGAATAGAACAGCTAAGGCACTCGCTCACTCCCAGGTTTCCGTTTCATGTGCAAGAAAACAAAATTACCGGGGACAAGCCCTCCATTTTAAACGCATCGGTTCTTGATAACGTGCCACGGGAGCACCTGCTGGAATTGCTTTTTGTTGACGAACGTTTCCGCGATCACATTCGCTTAATTTGTGTCTGCGCGAACTACAGGAAAGCTGAATCAGACACACATGGAGTCATTATTAATCCACTTGAAGTTCCTGCTTTTTATAATCGATGTTTAGAGCAAGTTTACTACGCTGTGAAACCCGACGGTGATATTCCCCTGGCTAAAAACTCCCATGAAACCCACATAACTTTTCAGTGAATTGAAAGCATACGGTACAACATGCATCTAATATGCCTGGTGTCGCCTGCGCAGTCGGTCGGTAGCAGCATTCAACGTTCAGAGGGATACAGTGACGCTCCATGGTACACACCGGTTCTCACCAACAGATATGGAAATTAATGTTATAATTAAGTGTAAATTTATAAATTAATGTTATAATAATGGAAGTCAAGAGGCAAAATAGCACACACTCTCAGAGGTTGGTTAATGCAGAGGAGGAGATCAGGGCGATACAGTCGAAAGGCCAGATACGGAGCGTGCAAGGTACAAAAACGATTCAAGGCTACACCAGAGGATTACAAGTGGACTACTAATCGTGTCTGGGGCTTGTGGTGGTGCATCAGTGGTACCATACGATCATAAGACAAACATGTGTCAGTAGGTGCAGTCTGGTTTCCGTGCCGCACATTAGAAGCACGGTAATTTTTTCTGCAAGGTGTTTCCTAGTGGAATGAAACTTTTTACGCCAAATGTTTCAATCTGTTGGATATGTGCTCAGAACAAAAATCATTTTGACCTACCGTCATTTTTCGCGACGAGTATTGGACTCCTTTCTAATTTCTGCCGCGCATTTGACCTTGAACTTACCATGCAACAACTTCAGGAGTAGCTCCACATACATTTGTTGAGAAATTTGACGTTGTATCCCTCACATCCTTCACAGCGCTTGAGAGCGCATTAAATGAAAGCATGAAAGATAATGTGTGGTATTTCTACGTTCATCCGGGAATCAAAACGGCGATTCTGTTTTGCGTTACGAATGGGTGTACTACATATGGCTTGAAAGACAAACGGAAATTCAAGGAATCCGAAAAGGCTGGCAAGCCGGGCGTATTTCTAATAAAAATATCAGCACGCGAACCATCGAATTTTCAGTGCGGTTTTGTCTAACTAGGTGGGAAAACCAGCTCGCAGCCAACCTTCATTACCTTGAACACAACCACAAGTTTTGTGAGTTTTTCTATGATCGACTTCCGTTAAATCGACGGCTAACCGAAGAGGAATTGGGCACCTGCACAGCCTCACTGCAATACGGAACGCCGTCCTCTGAAGTGCGGCAGCTCG